TCGAAAGAGAACCAGGGTGGGATGAATCGCTGGGAGATGAGAAAGAGGTAGTTGGTCAGGGAGCAACGCAGAAAGCAGGGCAGGGTCCTGGAGGGAGGAAGAGGCAAGGAACTACCTGGGCACCAAGGCCTGGCTGGACGTGCCAGTAGGCCGCGAGAGAGCCCAAGAGCCCCAGGGAGAGGGGGATAATCAAAGCAGAGGAGTGATGCGCCCCGGTTCCCCACCCGCTGGCCCCATCTGTCTGGGCCACAGCTGCCCACTCACCTTGCTGAGCCCCTCCCAGAGCCAGCCCCCTCAGTAACAGTGCTGCATGTCCCAGGGGAGCCCCCTCATGAGCTTTCTCCTTCCCCCAGACTCCAGGACCACAGTATGGATTTTTTTTTTCTTTTTTTATAAATTAAAATTCTATCTCCCCACCCCCGCAGGTGGGTTTGTAATTTTCTGTGCCAGAATCACTCTGGGGGAGAGAAACCCTTCTGGGAAGAGTCTTTAATAACTTCTGCTGCCCAAGGAATCAGCTGCAGGGCCCTGAAGGCTTAAAGGGAGGGTATGTGTGTGCCTGCCTGGGGAGCCCAGGCAGGGGAGGGGCTGTCTAGAATGAAGAGGACTTCTACCCCCAGCTCAGCCTCAGTCCCAAGGCAATCCTCTCAGTCCTAGAGCTTCAATGCCTTAACCCCATTAACCAGGCATGCACAGGTGGAACCTAAACCCCCAGGGGCTCTCTCCAGCCTCCTGGCTGGGGTGCAGAGGAAGGAGACAGCCTGTCTACGCCACATTGCCTATCTGGGCTCTGGACCCTCCCAGGACCTCAGTTTCCCCATATATAAAATAAAAGGGTTGGACACAATGACATTCCCGGCCTCTCTTTTTTGAAATGTTTTTATTGATTTCAGAGAGTAGAAGAGAGAGAGAGAAACATCAATGATAAGAGAGAATCATTGATCAGCTGCCTCCTGCACACCCTTTACTGAGGATCGAACCTGCAACTCAGGCATGTGCCCTGACGGGGAATCAAACCATGACCTGGTCATAGGTAGACACTCAACCACTGAGCCACACCAGCCAGGCTCCCAGTCTCTTTTAATTCCAAGCCTCTGTGACATGCTTTCTTGGGCTCTCACTGGGATTTTAATTTTTTGAATTGGTGGCATTTAAATATTGGGTGATTTCACATGGAAATCTGGATTCCCAGCAATATATATGCTCATTCCTGTAGGGCAACCCTTGGAGGGAACTAATAGATGCTGCCCCCCCAAAGATGAGCAGAGCCTGTCCGTTCTGCCACATATAGTCTCTGCCGTCCTGACCTGGCCTGCCTCACTCTCCAGCCCTGTGTGCATGAGTTTGCAACCCTGCCCTAATGGTTAGCTGCTCCTGCTCTGGCCTTTCTCTCTGTCCTGGGTAACCACACTGTCTTTTAAGGCATGGAAACATGTACCTGTTTCTCTACTTGCTAAATGGGTAAAAACCACAGGCTTTTAGGTCAACCAAGTTAGGTCCAAATCCCAGCTCTCATTCCTCAGGCCTTAGCAAGTCATTTGACCTCTAAACCCCATCTCTGAAATGGGTGATATAAGAGACTATGCCTTGTGTAGGGTTGTCCTACGGATTAAGACAATGCAAAGAAAGTTCTGAGTGCTGTGCCCAGCATAACATGGGCACTCTGTCTGTGTGCGCTCTTACTGTGTGACTATGCACAACCCTAGCTCACAATGAGGCCACAATAGCAATGCGGTCGATGCTGCTAAATAAAGGAAGCAGCGGAGAGGCAGACCTGGCCTGGGGGCGGATGAAGTTGCGGAGTAGAGGTTGCAGCCGGCTCAGACCGATGGGCTGAGGGAGGAAAGGCCTCGTCTCCAAAGGGCAGGGTGTCGTCTGCGAGTCCGCAAAAGCCTGCCACCAGGGCCTTCAGACGTTACCTTGGCGCCACCCTCTGGATGACATGTGCCTCACACCTATCCCTCCACTCAGGCAGGAGAGGACGCGGTAGTGAGTTGATCCCTTATCTGTTGAATTGACAAGACCCTTAGAACTCCTAGGGCCCCAGCCCTTCATTACACATCTCTGGAGCCCAGACCCAGAGAGCAACTTTCCCAAGGTCACAGAACCTTGGCTGAGCTCCACCTAAAACACACAACTTGCTCTAGCTGCCATGAAGCTACCCCAGCCCTTTGTCAGGGACCCTAAGATATACAGCAGACCCCCTTATCCACGGGGGGATATACTCCAAGACCCTCAGTGGATACCCGAAGCCACAGGTAGTACTGAACCCTACATCTACTATGTGTTTTTCTTATATATAGGCATATACACAACTATGATAAAGTTTAATTTATAAATTAGGCACAGTAAGAGTAACAACAATAACTAATAATAAAATAGAGCAGTTATAACAATCTACTATAATAAAAGTTCTGTGAATGTGCTCTCTCTCTCTCTCTCTCTGATAACGGATCTGATAATGGAGACAGCTACTAAGTGACTAACGGATGGGGAGCACATNCTCTCTGATAACCGATCTGATAATGGAGACAGCTACTAAGTGACTAACGGATGGGGAGCACATACAGTGTGAATATGAGGGGAAAAGGGGTGGTTCACAGCCCAGGCAAGATAAAGCAGACAGCACAAGATTTCATTGCGATACTCAGAACAGCATGCAATTTAAAACATGAATTGTTCATCTCTGGAATTTTCCATTTAAAATTTTTGGACCGCAGGTGACCACGAGTAACTGAAACCACGGAAAGAGAAACCGCGGATAAGGGGGACCACTGTATGAAAGGTACTTTCTTATGCATGTGCTCTGCTGGCTCTTAGGGGGAACTTCTCCCCGAAGCGGAATCTGTGAGAAGGAAGGAACGCAGGTCGTTTATTCAAGCATGTTTTCAAGTCCAGGGAAAGCCCCGAGGCAAGTGATCCCCAGTGCTAGCAATAGAAAACCAACTGCTTATCCAGAAATCTGAATGCCAGGAGCAAGTTCTCAAAGTGTGGTCCCTGGGCCAGCAGCAGCATCACCCCAGAAACTGGTTATAAATGTAAACTATTGAGCTCTACCCCATCCAGACCCATTCAATCAGAAATCCTGGCAGAGGGGCCCAGCAATCTTTTTTGGTGGTCCTGCTACATGCTCAAGACTGAGAACCTCTGACCCAGGAGAAGACAAAGGAGGCACCAATAACAGCTGCTACGGGTGCTGTCTCCATTTGCCAGATGAGGAAACTGAGGTGCTAAAAGATGAAAAGGGACCACAGATGATAGGTGGCAGAGGTGGTGGGTCTTTTGCCTCTTCCCACCATACTGCCAAGCACAGAAGTAACACTAGCATTTGGACTCTAGGTAGGGGATGAGGGTGAGGTCCCCCAGCTCCCCTTCCCCCACCCCACCCCACCACCACTTTGCTCCACTTTCTAAACCAAAACTCTCCACCTGGTGCATCCAAATGATCCTTGAAGCTCCTCTGGGAAGACTGCCAAGCCAGGTGCCCCTCTTGATTCTCATCGGCCCCCACAGCCTTCACCAGGGACAATCCCTCTCCACTCCCACCCTCCAGGCAACAGGACACATTGGGGAAGCCCAAAGCAGCTTCTTGGGGGGACAGGGGTGGAGATCCCCAGGTTAAACCAGCCTGGCCTCATCTGCACCATGAATCTTAATCTTCGTGCCAGGGCTTCGCATGACTTCTCCTCCTTGTCCTACAGCCTTCCTCCCCTCCCCTCCCTTCCCCTCTGCTCCTACTCCATCTGCTGCTCCTCCTGGCTAGGCTCCCCCTCAGTTGGCACAGCAAGAAAAGAGAACAGAATGGTTATTTTTATCCTAAGATACTGCTGGGGGAAGGGGGTGCCATCTGACAGAGAAGCAGCAGCTCCTGTTGCAGTTGGGAGGTCAGAAGGAGGTGGGAGGCCCAAGACATCCCAGGGAAGGAGCTACAGATTTGGACTCCAGAGATCAGGAAGGTCTGGGAGAAGCAGCCCAGGACCAGGAGTGGGGTGCTCTGAGCAGCACCACTACGAAATGCTGTGCAACCATAGGCAAGTCACTTACCATCTCTGGACTTTTGTTTCCACCTCCGTTAAAGAGGGAGGGATGTGGGTTCCACTTGCCCCCAAAGCTGTTTTGTAAACATGAATGAAATGGAGACAACCCTTTGCAAACATGGTGCCAAATGTGAACACACATGGAGGGGTAGCAGCCTGGGGACATTCTTATTTATCCCCTGAAAGTGCCCTAATTCTGTGAGCCTGACAGCAAATTAAGCAGCTCATGTCACCCAGCATGTCCACCCCCGTTTTTCTTTTCACATGTTTGATGACTTTTTAATTACATAAGCAGTGTGTGAATTCACTCTCCTTTTGGGGAAAAAAATGAAGCCTTATGGGAAAGTCAAATCTTCTTTTACCAACCCTCCCCAGAGCCTTCCTCCCCAACCCAGACATCACAACTCCGCGAGCTGCGCATTTCCTGCGTATCCTTCCAGAACCCTTGCTACACCTACACATACAGTGTTTATTATGTTTACACGCTTACCCACAGGTGATAGATCGGATTGTTGGGGGGTATGTGCTTTAAAAAAAAAAATTCTGTGCCCATCATTCTGCAACCTGCTTTTTTCCCAGGACAAAGTTTTTGAGATCCTGTTGCATAAATATATTACAATTTTATTTAGCCAGTCCCTGTCGATGGACAGTTAAGTGGCTTCCAGTCATTTACTGTCACAAACAACACTGCATGATATTCATGTAGACGCCCCCCTGTGTTCATAGAAACCACCATGGGCACTGAACTGCTGGGTCGGAGGGTTTGATGATATTACTATATGACCCCAAAAAAAGTTTTGCTTCCATCTTTAAAAGCAAGTTGGGAGACTGAATGGGCTCCAGGCTGGAGTGGAGGTTCCCTGGGTGAACTGTTCCTGAGCCGCAGGGTTGCAGGCAGAGGGGGACTGTGCCTAGCACCAGCCCCTCGTCCTCACAACGTAGCAGCTGCAGCTCCAGGCTTCGCGGCCACGTGCGCATTTGTCCATACCTCCCCGCTCCAGGCACACACAGCCTCACTGTCTCTCCTGCACTGAGATGCGGCTCTCTTTGCCATCCTCCTGTGCGACCGGCTGGCACCAATGTAAGGTCTCCTGCACCGGAGCCGTAGAGCAGGGACCAGAAAAATCCTCCAAGTCTATCTCCACAGGATCTTGCCTTTTGCCCTTAGGGTGGAAGGCCTGGTGAGCCAAGGAGTGAGGTTATCCCCAGCAACACCTCTGAGGAGCCCTTCCCTCAAAGGGGATGCTCCCCAAGCCCCCTCCCTTTTCCCAAATCAGGGCCAATTCCATGGGTGTCTCCTGCCCCCTGCTGGCCACACTGAGGGTGTCAAGAAGCTTCCAGTGGGTTCAAGGAGCTGCCCCTCCAGTCTGGCCATGGTCCCTGCACCAAGGCCCCAAAGTGGTTCCCTACACACTGAATGCTGGGAAAGAACAGCAAATGATAACATTGACTTTGACAATGGTGCCTGGGCAGCTCTGGGGGGAGGTGAGCTCTGAGGATGACAAAGGTTGGTGCTGAGGGAGTGGCTGGGAGGAACTCTGGGGCACAGAGTTGGGGGGAAGAATAGCCAGTTCTGCTGTCACCCCACTAGCCACAGGGACAGGCCCTGAATCAGCTTTACTGGCATATAGGCAACAATGAGTCAATCTTCTTTCCAATTTGCCAAAACTCAGAGCCAGTTCCCAGGGGTGACTTACCTTATTGTGCCCCTCCTTAGTCACCTTTCCTAGAGAGCAAAATTAAAGGAATGGAGAGTTAGTGAGGCCACATCAGGAAACAGCCGGTTCTACTTTACCTGCTCCTTCCTCCCTGCCTCCCTCATCACCTCCCGACCTGGGGACTCACTGATACAGGCAGACACGAATAGGACAATAAACAGGACTACTGCAACAACGGGGATCACCACCAGGGCTCTCATCCGAGGCCGGAAACCTGGAGAAATGGAGACTTCAGCGATGGCTCCCACCCCCATGCCCAAAGCTGCTATGCCTTACTTGGCTCTAAAATCCTTCCATGTCTGAGCTCACCTACATTGAAGGTTTCAAACAGGTAGCTCTGGTAAAATGGGGCCAGCGGATGTCTTTCATATGACCAGCACATTTTTAAATTATTTTAAACATTTTAACTTGGGGAGATTGCATATTTAAAATCTAGATATCTGGCTTCTCTTAGAAATTTGGAAGATCTAGCCCCATTGGGCCAGCAGCCCCACCTGGCACTCATCAGGCAGAACTGAGTGCTGGTGGCTGTCTCCACTGCTCACCACACTCCCCACCCCTCTGTATTCTCTGCCCAATGCTGAGGACCTGCATCACTTATGTCTGCACTGCCTTTGTTATAGAAGAATGGAGGGGAAATTAAAGTATTTCTTGTATCTAAGTCTCCATTCCAAATGGGAAAATGAAAGAAAAAACAAGAGGCAGAGCAGGGACTAGGGTAAGGCACACAACTCTGGACAAAATTTAAGGGGACACTAAAAAACTCAGTAATCAAGATAAAAAATATTTTAATGTTATATTTTGAAAAACCAAATCATCAAATTATGGCCCACAGGATGCCTGCCTGTTTTTTAAATAAAGTTTTATTGAAACCAGGGCCAGGATTAGGCAGAGGCAAATCAGGCAGGGTCCTGGAAGTGCAAGGTTGGACCATGGCTTTAGTTAAAATTTTATAGTTTGTTCATTACAGATTTTTTTGCATTGACTTCAATTCTTTTTAAATATTGCATCAAAATTTTATCTTGATTTATGCATTTTTCTGGCACCTCTTTAAATATTATGCCCAAGGCAAGTGCCTCTCTCACCTCACTCCAGTCCTAGCCCTGCCAAAAGGAAAATGAATGTTAAGGAAAAGCAAACAGAGTACAATTTTCTTACCTCTCACCTTTTTCACTCATTAACATAACAGCCTAGTCCCTGTGATTATCTGAGCCTGTGATATGTGCTGTAGGCCAACCTACCCATTCTAAAATCAAAACTGAGGCCCTGAGAGGAAACCATGTTACACCATGCTGGTGCTTGAAGTTCAGGGTGGCAGAAGAGCTTTGATGGAGCACTTCCAAAGTGCAAGATCCTATGCTGGGCACTTACACCAACCCACTAAGGGAAGTGCTGTTATCCCATTTTACAGATGAAGAAACTAAAGCTCAGGAGGTGAGATGACTTTCCTGGACCGCACAGATAAGTGGCAGAGCTGAGACGCCACAAGTCCAAACTGCCTCCTCCTCTCACTGCACCTCCCACCCATTGTTTCTGTGTGCCTTAGCTTCTGCCTTTAGTTCCCTACCTTCCTAGCCTGCTGCCAGGACCCATTCTCCAGGACTCACCACATTCAGCATCAGTCTTGTTAGTCCCTGCCCGCACCTCCACCAGACCTTTGGTCTCACAGCTATGTGCACACACGTGTGCACACGCATACACACAGGGAGAAAAAGAGAAAATGAGACATTAAGTTTCCCCAACCATAAGATTTCCAACCCCAGAGGAAGACCATCAATGACCAATAAGTCCAGTTCACTGAGCATGTATTGTATGCACCCCCCTGTGCTGGTTATGATGCAAACTCTGTTCTTATGAAACTCATGAGTGCAGAGGAAAGATTATTACACATCTTGAAGGGGTAATAATAGGAGAGTCTCTAATGAGTGCCAAGCGTTGTGATGTAGGCTAAAGTGAACTGGGAATTGTTTAGAGAAGAGGAGATGAAATCCACAATGACAGGAATGGAGAGGTGATCCATTTGGTTTAAGGCAGGGGTTCTCAACCTCAGCACCACTGACATTTTGGGCCACGTAACTCTGTTACGGGACTGTCCTGCACACTGTAGGATGTTTAGCAGCATCCCTGGCCTCCACCCGCTAGATATCAGTGGCATCCCCCTTCCCAATCTCGTCTCCAGATATTGTCAAAATTGTTCAGTTGAGAACCCCTGGTTTAAGGGACGTCCAGAAAGACTCCCCTGGGGAAGTTAGGTGTGAGTGGGCCCTGAAGAATGTACAATTTAGAGTAGTGGTGCATTCCTGCTAAGCAGGACAATGCGATAGAGAGATAAGGTGGGTGAAGTGCCAGATGGCATTAGGGAACCATGGAAAATTGGGTCTTTAGAACCAGGTCACTGATAATCAGCCATGAAGGTTTCAACCAGATTCAGTTGGTGAGTCATATCAGCATCGAATCAGAGTCTTAAGTAGTGGGAAGACTCAGCTGGCCGGAGAGCTCACAGGAGGAGAAATGAGGGGAAAGTGGCCAGCCAGGAGCCCATTGCAGGAGTCTAGATACGAGAAGACCAGGTCCAACATAGTCCCAGGAGGAATGGTGAGGAACGGTCAGAGAGGAACATCACAAAGGGAAAAAACATCTAAAGTGGGGGAAAGAGAGAGAAACTTTAAAGAAAGCACATACATGAGAAGAGTGCTTACAAGCTTACGAAACACTGTACATGTTGGCTCAGAGAGACGAGGTTTCACACACTTGCACAGGGCCATGCCCTATCTAAGCTGGAGCAAGGCTGGAACCCAGTGCTCTGATTCTACTGCCCCAGCGTGCCCCCAGTCATTAGTCAACATTTATCGGTAAAAATATATTGAGCACCTACTATGTTCTAGGCACTGTTCTAGGCATAAGGGATGAATCAGTGACAGGCAAAAAAAGCCAAGTCTCTACATTTAAGGAGTTTGCAATCTACTGGAGAAAGCCAGACAATAAACAAGTAACAAAGTGTATATGAGATGCTATAATTTGTGTGGACAATGTGTGTTTGCACATGAGCACATATGTGTTTGTGTGTTTGTCTGTGGAAGGGCATACAAGGAACACGGGATGCCTCCAGGAACACTGGGTGGCTGAGGGGCAGGGGTGAAAGAGAGACTAATCACTGTACTCCCTTTTGTGCCTTCTGTCTCATGTGCCTGTCTTACCCCAATTAAATATAAAAAGTTAATGGGGCATGTGTTAAAGGGTATTTCAGGCAGAAGAGTTTGATGCAAGGAATGAGCAGTGTGTTGAGGGGATTGCAAGAAGCAGGATATGGGAAGAGGTCAGGAAATGGAGCTGGAATGTTGGAGGCCACGCAAAAGAGTCTGGGTTTTGTCCTAAAGGCCCTGAGAGCTGTGAAACATTTTAGATAGGGAGTGCAGTAAACCAAAAGGAACTGCAGAAAACTCACTTTGGCAAGCGAATGGAGAACCAGTTGAAGGAGGGAGACTAAAGGCTGGGAGGTCAGTGAGGAGGCTACAGCATCATCCAGACCATGGTGATGAGACCCAGGCTAAAGTGGCAACACTGAGATAGTGAGAATGAGGGGTCCCAGAACATCTAGAAGGAAGACACACAGAACCTGGTGACTGATTTGGGGTTGGAAGTGAGAGGGGAGACCATGGGACAAGTGCCCAGAGGCATGGTGGTAGCTGTCACAGAGGGTGAGGGGAGCAGGAAGGTGAGCCTATTTGGTGCCTGTGCGTCACCTGCACGGAGATGTACCATCGGCAGTTGGATATAACAGTCTTGGACCCAGAAGACAAATCTAGACAAGAGTTGTTGATTGGGAACCACCTGAGAGAGATGGTAGCTTGAAGCCATGGACATGAATGAGATGGTCCAAGGGAGGCAGGCAAAGTGATTGAAAAGTAGAGCAGAACAGAGGCCTAGGAAACTGGTTAAGGAGGAAGGAGGAGCAGGGAGGATGGAAGGAAAGGAGGAGAGGTGTCATAATGTACCCAAGAAAACAGAGTTTCACAGAGGCGGAGAGATCAAGAGCATCTATTACCACCAAGAGAGACAGACAAGGAAATGCTGGAAAGTGCCTATTTGGTTGGATGTCCATGAGGTCACTCTAGATGTTTTACAGGTGCGTGAGTGTGTGTGGCCATGGGGAGCCATAGCTGAAGGGTAGGTGGCGGGACAGAATGGAAGCAGATCTCATGCCCCTCTTGGGGCAGGAAACACAAGGGATGAGTTCTCATACCTTGTCCAAGGATGACACTTTTCAAAAGCAGATGACACATTGGAGAAGAAGCCGACCAGGCAGGGTTCACAGATGGTATCAGAAACCCCTGTAGCTGGGAGGGAGAGGGGGCATTAATCATCGCGGTGGACCACCTGTCTGGCTCTCTAGAGAACCAGTGGGCAGGCGGGACAGGAAATCGTCTTGCTTTAAGTACTCTCCCCCCAGCATAGAGCCTCCCCCAACTGCTGCAGCCTCTAGGAAGGTGTCTCCAGGAGCCAGCATGACAAAGGTTCATTCCCGCTCACTCTAGGAGGCTTACTGATGTAGGTTGTAGTCTCAATTCCCTCCACCCCGGGGCTGAGTGCCCACTGCCCAGCCCCTCACCTTTGGCCCTCAGCTCCTCTCTCCTGCCTCTAGAGCTTAATCTCAGACAGGCCACTTACCAATCTCCTTGACCCCAAAGCCAGGGGGGCAAGAGCTGTGCGGGGTGCAGGTTTCACAGGCCTCGTTGACACAGTGTTGGCCTTCATTACATGTGCAAGTCCTGTCTGTTTGTGAAGTGCCGTTACTTTGGACCCGGAGCCCTAGGTCTGTGTGGAGATGGGCGAGAAGGATGGGAACCCCTTGCTGGATACTCTCAGGGGCACCCCCTCCTCACACTTCCTGCTCTTTTTTTTCCTTAGACCCTCTTCCAAGTAGGGACAGCAATCAAATTATTTAACAGCCAGTACAGCCTAGACTCCAACCAATCCAAACAGACCCTGCCTATTTATTTAAAACAACAAACAAAAAACAGAATGACTACATTGTCAAGAATGAGCTGGAATATCAGTCCAGCTCCCAAGCACCTCTTCCCTAGCAGCCCACGCACTGGGGTCACAATATCTGTGCTGATGACAGCGCTTCTCACTGTTCCAAGTCTTCAAGAATTCGCCTTCACTACAAGGGAGGCATTCTGTGTTGCTGACAGCCGTGCAGTCATTCACCAGTTTGTGTCCTAGAAAAAGCATCGGAAATGAAGCAGCTATGACCAACTCAGTGAGTTAGACACTCACCAAACACTGATCAGGCTGGACTTTAGGGCAGAGAATTCAAAGATGGCAGTCTCAAACCCTTCCAGCCTTCACAGTCAGGTGAGGGGCATGGAAGATACAGGAACCTGGTCCTGGGTAGGTGGAGAGGGAACCCAGAACATTCTGACAGCAGGGCAGGGATGGGAAATCCCATTAAGACTCAAGTTTACAGATGACACATGAGGCCTGCATCTGCCAGCGAACCAAGAGGCGTCCCACTGTGGGGCTAGAGGGCGGGCATCTCACCTGGCGGGCACATATCACAGCATTGACTTTTTAGGTATTGGCGTTCACCGCATGGTTCTAGGTGGACCTAAAAACAGAATTGGGCAATTTGAAGGGATCTGGAAATCTCTGCTGTAGCCTCCTTGGCAGGAAGGTGAAAATCAGCCAGGACAGGGGTTAGAACTGAAGTGGAAGTCCAAAGCAGAAAAGTGGAGCCTGCCTAGTAGTTGGTGTGTTTATTTTTAACTTAACTGCCAACCGATGTGATAGAAGCACCCAGAGAATCATTCTGGTCTTTTACAAAGCAATTGTGCTTGAACCTCACAATAATGTCTGAACTAAACCGATCTTCCTTTTGACTGGACTCCTGAGTCCTTCCTCTTCCCAATGATTCAAAAGCACACGAGGACCCCAGTGCCTCCCCTAGAGTCCTGCGGCTGCTGACTTTGGCTGGTCCTAGTCCTGGGGCTATATTTAGCACTTGGCAGATTCCTCCTATTCTGCTGCTCCCCACCCCTTTCCCTCTCCAAGCCTCCTGTTTTTCCCCTCCAACCCCTCCCTCATGAAATGCCAGAAAATTGTGAAGCTGGGAAGACAAAGTCTAACTCTTTCACTTTACAAATAGTGAGACTAAGGCCCCGAGAGGCTGAGTCACTTGCCCAGGGTTTCCCGGTGATTGAATCCGAGCTAGAATTCAGGTCTCAGTACTCTCCCTCTCTCCATTGACGTGGGTCTCACCTGCATTTCTTACTATGTCCAGGTACCACCCATGCTTTTTAATTATTTCTCACTAAATTAAAGTCATTTTTTTCAATGTAAACCTTATATCACTGCCATGAGAGAGAACCAGTCTCACTTCTCATAAATAAAGGTAACCCTAAAAAATAAAATTCAACAGAAACAAAGGAATGTTATGAAACCCCAGCTGGTTGCTTTGCTTGCCGATAGCTCTCCACCCCAGGCCTGCTCTGATTTTTGTTTTAAAGGGAGGATTAGCAAGTGCTTGAGAGGTATTAACTATATTCTAGCTCCAGAGATTTCCTCCTTCAAAAAAATCAAAAGGATTTTAAACAGAACTGTAAAGTGGATCTCTGTTGTTTAGTTCTGTGTGCATGTGCTCCCTATAATCACCCCACACTTTGGGAACAGTCAGTAAAAAGAGCGCAGGTTTGGGAGACAAACAGCCTAAGGCTCCAACCTTGACTTTGTAAGACTTACTAGTTATTTTGCTTCTCTTAGTCTGTTTTCACATCTCAAAAATGGGAGTAATACCTGTCCCACAGATTCGATTGTGAAGATGAGAAAGAATACATATATGTGGTCTGGTACAGTGTCTAGAACATAGTACATGCTCACTAAATGGCAGCTTTAATTATCATACCTATGTGAGTATCTGTTTGAATGCCAGCACCCTGGCTAACTGGCTGGCTGTCCAGGATCCTACCTAATTGCTGGCTCTCATTCAGCCATTACTTACAGAAACACATCTCATGCCAAATGGGGAAGGAAGTAGAAAAGGCTGCTGTTCCCACCATCACATCACAACATTCATCCTGTGAATGTTCTCCCTGCAACCCTGGGGACCTCCCCACCACACTCCCAGAGCAATGAAAGTCCTTTAAGCCCTTTTCAAACACATGAGAAATACGGCTCCTCCTCTGAAAGTCTGTCAATCCCCCGTCCCCACTCCATAGCTCCAGTCCTTCTGACCCAAAGGAGTTCAGAACCAAGGCTTGGAGGCCGTCACCGAGAGTCAGACTTGGGAACCAGGCAGATGTAGATTTATATCCAGGTTCCACCTAGCTATGAGAATTTTGGCAAGACATTTCCTCTCTCCAAGCCTCAGTTTCCTCAACTGTATAATAGTTAAAAGAAACCAGACAGAATGCATGGAAAGCACTTTCCTCGGAGCCTGACACTCAGGAAGCTCTCACTAACTAGCAGTGGCCTCTGGCCAGGCATGGCTCAGCGGTTGAGCGTCGACCTAGGATCCAGGAGATCAGGGTTCAATTCCCGGTCAGGGCACATGCCGGGTTGCGGGCTCGATCAATGACTCTCTCATCATTGAGGTTTCTATCTCTCTCTCTCCCTCTCCTTTCCTCTCTCTGAAATCAATATATATTTTTTTTAAAAAAAATAGCAGCTGCCGTTGTCATTGTCACAACCCAGTCTCTACCTGGAGCCAAAACTGGGAATATGCTCTTGAGAAGCCCAAACGGCCCTTCACCCACCCTCCCCTGGCTCTTCCTCCGCTCCCTCCGACAAGAATGCCCTTCTTTCCAGCTCCACCCTCTTCCTGCCCCCTTTCTCCCTGAGAGCCATAGCTTAGAGTGAAAATGAAAGCTCTGGGACCAAACAGCTTCCCCCCGGCTCCCTTCCCGTATCACCCGCTCCATGGGTCACTCCTGCCCAGGCTTCAGGCCCCAAACGACAGCCCTTGAGAGCAGGGGGAGACAGGCGCTGGGATGAGAGGGTAAGGTAGTGGGGGATTCCCAGCCTCCAGAATGAGGAACTACGAAAATACATTTAAACAAAAAGTGAGACAACTGTGGGCTTCTGAGAATCCTGGAGATGTGCTTGACTGGGCACCTCCGAGCCCTTCTGGTGCCCGGAGAAACCCTTTCTTGGGTCCCGCAGAGGCCCCCTGCTCCTCTTAATTCAGGATGCCAGACGGAGCCTCGAGTATCCTCCTAGGGTGGGTCACCCCATGCTCCCACAAGATGCCCTGGAAGAAGGCAGCCCGGCTGGCAAGGGGATGATAACGTCTCGGGGCTGGCATCTGTCCGCCTGCGGAAGGGACAGGAAGCCGGCCGGCCGCGCTCCCCGGGCCTGCCCCCTGCCTCTCCCGCCAGCCTTGGGGGCAAACCGGGCGCCCGCCCTCACAGCAGACGGAGGCCGGAGGCCCCCACACCCCAGCCCCTCCGC